ACTCTCCTCTTTCACCTTCAGCAACAAGCTCTTTAATTCATCTTCACTCTTTGCTATATTTGGCTGTCCGGTGGCTCAGACAGTAAAGCGTCTGCCTATGATGCGGGAGACCCGGTTCGATCCCTGGGTTGGGGAGATCCCCTGAGAAGGAAATGGCAACCTACTCCAGTACTCTTGCCTGGAAAATCCCATGGACGGAGGATTCTGGTAGGCTATAGTCCATGGGGTTGCAAAGAGTCAGACACGACTGAGCGACTTCACTTTCCTTTTTCCTTTCTCTGCCATAAGGATGGTGTCATCTGCATATGGCTTATTGATATTTCTCCCAGCAATCTTGATTCCAGCTTGTGCTTCCTCCAGCCTGACATTTCACCTGATATATAACTTAAATAAGCAGGATGACAATATACAGCATTGATGTACTCCTTTCCGAATTTGGAACCAGTCTATTGTTCCATGTCCGGTTCTAACTGTTGCTTCTTGACCTGCATTCAGGTTTCGCAGGAGGCAGTTAAGGTGGTCTGGTATAAGAATTTTCCACTGTTTGTTGTGATCCACACAGTCAAAGGCTTTAGCCTAGTCAATGAAGCAGAAGTAGATGTTTTTCTGGAGTTCTCTTGCTTTCCCTATGATCCAGTGGGATGTTGGCAATTTGATCTGTGGTTCCTTTGCCTTTTCTAAATGCAGCTTGAACATCTGGAAGTTCTTGGTTCACATACTGTTGAAGTCTAGCTTGAAGAATTTTGAGCATGACTTTGCTAGTGTGTGAAATGAGTGAATTGTGTGGTAGTTTGAGCATTCTTCAGCATTGCCTTTCTTTGGCATTGGTATAAAAACTGACCCTTCCAGTCCTGTGGCCACTGCTGAGTTTTCCAAATTTGCTGGCATATTGAGTGCAGCACTTTTAATAGCATTGTCTTTTAGGATTTGAATTACCTCAACTGGAATTCTGTCACCTTCACTAGCATTGTTTGTAGTGATGCTTCCTAAGGCTCACTCGACTTCGCATTCTAGGATGTCTGGCTCTAGGTGACTGATCACACCATTGTGGTTATCTGGGTCATGAAGATCTTTTTTGTACAGTTCTTCTGTGTATCCTTGCCACCTCTTATTAATATCTTCTGCTGCTGTTAGGTCCATACCGCTTCTGTCCTTTATTCTGCCCATCGTTGCATGAAATGTTCCACTGGTATCACTAATTTTCTTGAAAAGATCTCTAGTCTTTCCCATTCTATTGTTTTCCTCTATTTCTTTGCACTGATCACTGAGGAAGGTTTTGTTTTCTCTCCTTGTTATTCTTTGGAACTCTGCATTCAGATGGGTATATTTTTCCTAATACATATAATCACTAATACATTTAATTGCACAGTTTTAATAATCTACAAATAGAATAAGTTTAAGTTTTTAAAAAAGAATGTTTCTAAATGCTTAAATGCTTTGGAATGACTTACTATAAAAAACTTCCAGCATAATTTAATGTGGATAAGATTAGTAAAAGTTTAGGGAAAAACTCAAAATTCTGGAAGGATTCTATATTCCTTCACAAATATCTTTAATTTCTTCCTATATTAGAGAAACAAATGCTGAAAATTGTGCTGTTATGTGTTATTTGCAGGGAAAAATAATGACACTGATCCATAGACCGACATTCAAAGAGAAGGCTTTTGGCTCCCCTTCAAAAGATTGGTGGATATGTAAATATATATTTTAAAGTGAGATAAAATTCATAAATTAATATCTATCTTTCTTTATGATTCACCTCTTAACGTGATTCTTTAGTATAAACCTAACCTGATGGTTAGGATGACATTGAGTAAGATAGATCCTTTACTGCCATTCATGAGCTAGAAGCAAATTTCCTTTGGTTTCCATGATAGTAAAATATACTCTCATCTGTAATTATTCTCTATATCTGCATAAGAATTAGTAAAGAATTTGAGTAATCTCTTAGAAATGTAGCTATTACAGGTCAGATTTCTTAAGATATAGTGATGCATCTGATGGTACCAGGAACTTTTTTAAAAGATTTTTTTATTACATAATTTAAAGTTTTTTTTTATGAAGCATTGACTTACAATGAGGAACTTTAAAAAAAAATTCAAAGGTTTTGTTGAATTGGAAACTGCTTAGAATAAGCAATTGTATGTGGGAGCTTGGAAATTTGTTTTTTTTACCCATAAAAGTAAGTTCACTGGTCAGTTCAGTGGTGTATCAGACATGTCAGCCTGCAGTAGGTGGTCGCGGCTCATTGATGTCAGCTTTATCACAGCTGTGCGAATGTGCTGCCATTTATAGATGACATGGTGCAGAGACACAGGGCTGGGGGAGAAATGCCTTGGATTCTCTGTCTGGCTCCGCGGCCACCATGAATCAGTGAGAACTGTTTCTGACTCCCTGGCAGTGAGCTTGCAGTGTGAGTTGTTTTCTTTCCTAGAAACAGGGAATTAATTCACCCTCCTCACAGTGTGTTTACAACCACTACACACACTGGCAAGCTGACTGGCAGGGTGGCTTAGTCCGTGGCCAACTGGGTAAGAAGCTCATCAACTTTAGTCATTTTAGCACCAGGCTGTATCATTAGCACAGCTAACCAAACACTGAGATTATTGTTAAATACCAAGCGATTCTTCCAAACTGCTGATTTCTTAATCATCACATATTCACTGTCAACAGTGTGGCCTGCAGGCTTGTTCCTTCATTTTTTTCTTTCTTCCCCAAAAGATTTATTGAAAGTCTCCTGTGTGCCAGTCACTGTTATGGGATTGGGGATCCAACAGTGACTACATCAGAGGTGAAAAGATAACCCTGCCTTTTAGAACTTCAATTCTGATAGAGGATATATACACATAAACCTGGGCTTTCCCTGGGGGCTCAGACAATAAAGAATCTGCCTGCAACGCAGGAAACCTGGGTTCAATCCCTGGGTTGAGAAGATCCCCTGACGAAGAAAATGGCAACCCACTCCAGTATTCTTGCTGAAGAATTCCATGGACAGAGGAGCCCGGCGGTCTCCAGTCCATGAGGGTCACAAAGAGTTGAGCACACACATGTCTAGTGTGTGTTACTTGCTCAGTCGTGTCCAGCTCTTTGTGACCCCATGGACCATAGCCTGCCAGGCTCCTCTGTCTATAGAATTTTCCAGGCAAGAGTACTGGAGTGGGTTGCCATTTCCTTCTCCAAGAGATTGTCCCAATCCAGGGATCAAACCTATGTCTCTGGCTTCTCCTGCATTGACAGGTGCGTTCTTTACCACTGCTCCGCCTGAGAAGCCCACACATAGACACAGACATATTTAAGTGCCAGGAGGACAGAGAAATGAAGAAGATAAATGAAATGCTGTGGGTTGAGTGGTAACACTGAACTTCTGACAGAGTGGGCAGAGAAGGCCTCACTGAGACTATCAAGTCTTTAATATTGGGTTGGCTGAAAGATTCATCCAGAGTTTTCCATTATGGAAATGGAAATGATCCTGTTGGCCAACCCAATATAAACTCCTGAAGGAGAAACACAGTCTAGAAGAAGTAGTTTCTCAGAACTCAAGTTTTCTTAATCTGTGTCTATGGGGTTTGTATGAGAGAAATATTACATCTAAATTTTCACTGTACCTGAAATTTTACCATCTCTTCTAAATCATGTATCTAGATAACCAACTATAGTAATCTGAGGAGAACCTGTGTCTTTGTCACAGATATTTTCATATCACATACACTTATTGTATACATCTCAAAATATTATGTATATTCATCACTACTTACAAATTACCATAGTTACTATCCTAGCCATTAAATCTTGAATTTTAATATTGTAATAAAGAAGCACATATATCACAGTTTTAAAAAATATCTGTACTGATAATTGTATTTCAAAATAATACATTTCCTGGTACCCCTATGTATTATATGTTATGAGTTTTAAAACACATTGAGAAAGAGGCTGAGGCGTCACTAGTGTGCCAAAAAGAGGCTCTGGCATAGATATGTTAAGCTTTTGTTTAATCCCTAATTGAGAGCTGTCTTCCACCTCCCAAAAGTACAGTACACCCTTCATTTGTTTCCCTCTTTGAGAGATTACTCAAATACATCCTGAACAGATAGGGAGGGTTTTTTGGATAATTCCATAGAACTGTGATTGCGAAAGATCCTTTTTAGCTTCCTGTTTCCTGCAGGCCACACACTATTAACGTATTAGGTTGGCCAAAAAAGCTCGTTCGGGTTTTTTTTTTTTTTTGCCAACCCAATATTGCAGAATTACATAGCAAGTCAAGCAGACATGTAGCTTCCTAGACAAGGACAGTTTAGGGATTAGCTTTTAGACTTCCTTAAAAAAGTACTTGAAGATCCTTGAAATCAGTGCAGTTCGCTCTGAGAAAAAATGAGATGCAGAAATCTGAGTTGGAATTGGCTCACTTTTCTCACTTACACCAGCTTTTTAGCCACTCTCCTCATCATGATGTTGACCAAGTGCATCTGCCTAGATTGAGAGGACCTAGACTATATAACCATTGTACCTTCACCTGGATCAGCCTATGGGAAATAAGATGGTATATATATACGCTTTTAGCATGTTTTAGCTAAACTGTTTTAGCATGACAATCATAGAACAGAGCCAAGAACCCTACTGCAGGTAGAAAGGGGAGGGCGAGCACTGGTTAATGGGTTAGTCCAGAGAATTTTTGCTCTGTACTACATATTATGTACTTTCAATCCCTCGAGAATGTAAATATACTCTTCTATCTCTCATCAACAGTTAAAAAATAAAACTTAAAAATGGACATTTTAATGTTGCCAGAAGCTGGAAAGAGAAAATGTTAAGTCTGTAATTTTCACATTAGACAATCTTTTATGCTTGTGTCTTATATGGAAGGAAACCTATTTTTTATGTCATTAAACCTTCTGGACTGTACCTTCACTTGTGTCCCTCTGAGAAGTAGATACTTGAAAAGTGTGATGAGAGCTCTGAGCCATGTGGCACTCATCTGCATGGTCTCTTTTCTTTTATAGGTTGGTGAAAGATGCTCCTTGGGATGAAGTCCCACTTGCTCACTCCCTGGTTGGTTTTGCCACTGCCTATGACTTCTTGTACAACTACCTGAGCAAGACACAGCAGGAGAAGTTTCTTGAAGTGATTGCCAATGCCTCGGGGTATATGTATGAGACTTCATACAGGAGAGGATGGGGATTTCAATACCTGCACAATCATCAGCCCACCAACTGCATGGCCTTGCTCACAGGAAGCCTGGTTCTGATGAATCAAGGTGTGTACAGCTGAGGAATGCCTTGAGCTGACATCAGTCACAATTACCACAATGTGAACCAAACATTTCTATAACTAGTCTAAGTACACATTCATATGTGGCTCCTAACTAAGCCCAAACCATGACAATACCTTGGGCACCTCTTGGAGAGTTGAGAGACCTCTCCTTCCTCATTTCTGCTTGTTACGTTAGCCTGCTTGTTATTTTAGCATGCTCTCTTATTGTCTCAAGTCATATCCTTACGCACAGTATCAATGGTGAATATTCCTTTTTCTAATTTTTGACAGTGAAGGCAACCAGCCTGGATAGAGTTTATAAAAGCTGAACAGGTGGTTCGTTATTTGAACTGAATATTCCTCACACACAGGTTGTGTTTCAATATATTGCTACTTTTTTCCCCTCTAAAGACTTTAAAAGAATTTATCTAAGGACTTCCTGGTGGTCCAGTGGTTCAGACTTTGCCTTCCAATGCAGGGCATCCTGTTCGATCCCTAGTTGAGGAGGTAAGATCCCACACACCTCCTGGCCAAAACCCAAATATAAAACAGAAGCAGTATTGTAACAGGTTCAATAAAGACTTTAAAAATGGTCCACATCAAAAAAAATCTTTAAAAATGAAATCAGTTAATGTAGATCATTCAGGTCAAGTTCATAGTTGACTTTTATGGACCATTTAGCTTCTTTGCCTTATTGTATTGTATAATAGCTAATATCACATTTTCTTTTTTTATAATTAAATTTATTTATTTTTAATTGAAGAATAATTGCTTTATAGTAATTGTGTTGGTTTCTGCCATCACATTTTCTTTGTTCTTGTAATTCTGACTTAATTACAACTCCTGTTGAGAGACATCTTTAAATAACTAAATAAGGTTGTGTTTAAGAAAAATGACCCTTGGTTCACAGTGAATTATTAGAATATTAAATATTCTGGGAAAATAACTGGGAAATCTAAAAGAGTTTTAACTCAAAAAATAAAAAAAAATTAAAAAAATAAAAGAGTTTAACTCTTGATTATATTCCCTATAAGACTTAGTAAGCATTTTGTAGATTATCCAGCATCAGATTTTACCCATGCCTAAGTTTCTCCCTTGTCATATCAACCATCACTTTTAATTAGGTCTTAGAGGAAAGGAAACTAAAATTAATTGAGCATATGGCATGTGCTAATCCTTGCCCATATTTTATTTAATTCTCACATCAACTATATAAGGTAGCTGGGTTTTGGACCCAATTCTAGCCAAATTCAAACTTCATTGTCTTTCCACTATATTTTGTTGCCTTTCTTAAAATAAAAATTCAACTTATAGTAACTTAAGGAAAGCTTGATTAAGAGTGTAAATTTTTGCCACTCTCACGAATACAAACCGAATTTTAAAAGTCAAAAAGTAAGCCATGTGAACACCTACCATCAGACCATTTATAAATCCTCAGGCCTGTGGAAAGATAGCATCATGAATTGGTGGAAAGAACCCTAGAGTGAGCTGGATGGTAGCCCAGGGCCTTGGATTTTAGTCTAGTACAGTTTAATTCCCTTAGATAAATTTTTAGTTCTTTACCAGCAGGAATAGAACTTATTTCTTCATTCTCCACAATAGATAAAATTGAGATAAATTTTTAGTTCTTTACCAGCAGGAATAGAACTTATTTCTTCATTCTCCACAGTAGATAAAATTGTTCCAGATAATAAACAGGCACCTAAAATACTGGCTCGAATTGGATTACAATTTGTATTTGGCCTTGACAAGAGTTTTCACATGCATTTGTTTTCTGAGTAAAGTCATAAGGTTTGCTCTGGGATGCAGTCTTCCAGGGCTTTTCCACAAGTAGTGCCCACAGTGATGAGAAGAGGGAACAGAAAAAGGAGTGGAATCCCTGGTCCTTCATATCTCTGTTAAGTCATCAGACTTACAGCCCTGCCTCACTCTCACTCTAGGAGCTGCCTTGGCCACACTGCACTGATCATTCCATGTGCTCGGAGCAGCCTTGTAGATCCTGACTGTGGTAGCTTTGTCAGGTGTGGCTCCCACTGAATTCACGTGACATGTCAGCAGTGGGAGAATTAGGATTTGGTGGCCCTGTTGGTAAGGAATCCACCTGCAGTGCAGAAGACCTGGGTTCAATCCCTGGGTGGAGATCTCCTGGAGAAGGGAGTGGCTACCCGCTCCACTGTTCTTGCCTCGGGAATTCCACAGATAGAAGAGTCTGGTGGGCTATAGTCCATGGGGTAACACAGAGTCGGACACAACTGAAATGAGCTAACACCTTCACTTTCTGTCCTGCTAACCCAGTCTGAGGCTTGGTACAGAGGGCCCACAGGATCACATGTATTCAGTTTACAAATCAACTGGAAAGAAGACAGAAATGAAATGTTTAAATGATTACACCATACTTGTAATAAGACCAGGGAATGAGATAAAGAGTATCATGAAGTTATGATTAAATATCAAATGAGTGTATTAAGTTTGCATTCAGGAGAACAATTTCTTTAGATGAGTTTGAGATGGTTCATAAAACTTTGAAGGGTAGATAGGATATGAATAAGTGAAAATAAGGAGAAATCCAGGCAAGATAGATGGGTGATGGGAAAAACACAGGGCAGAACATTAGTAATAACAATATTGGTACCTTGTATGGATAGATTTGAAGTTTACAAAGGTAGACATTACCTCATCTCTCCTGGATAGAGTTTTTTAGAAGGGAAAAATAAAGAAAATCAGGTAATGAAATATATGAGGAGCAGTGAAATAGCAGTCCTGATTTTAAACATCAGTTCCATTGGTGTCTGGCTGGAGATGGAGGATACAGATATGGAAAAGATGAAGATGATTGGGATTTAAACCCTAATAATTGGAAAATGGAAATTAAAACCTATCTAGAAGGCTGGTATGTCAGGTGTGGAGCTGACTGGGAGAAGGGGCCAGTGCCCAGCAGAGCCTGAGAATGGTGCTGCCCCCATGAGATGAGGTCTGGGACTTACTTAGGCTGGGACTTCGGCTTTAGGCTGGGACACATCTGGTGGTACCTGGGCCTCTGGAAGCCCGCATGCCCAGCACATCTAGTAGCCCAAGGTAGAGGGTTCAGCATGGATGACCATGCACATGTCTATGGGAAAGAAATAACAAAAGTCTACTCACATTAGGAGACTGGGAGCTTAATTTGATCCTTAGGGGTTGTGTATTTTAAATACAAGCAAACAAAACAAACTTTAAAGACGTAAGTTCAGATCAAAGCTCTGTTCACTTTTAGTCATGTACCAGAGGACAAGTCAACCTTTCTGTAATTTTGGAGAAATAGTGCATAATTGAGTTGTTAAAAGGATCAAGTAAGGTTATGTTTGGTGCTATGTAGCTTCCAAATGCTACACAATGTGAGGAATTGTTATTGTTGCCTAAATGCTGGTTTCACAAAAATGATACAAAAATAGCATTTCTGAGTCAAAAGAATTTTATAAAGTATTTTAGACCTTCAATTCTCAGTTGGGGAAAATGAAAACGGTGGCAGGTGAAGAAGTACTTGAACAAAATCATGTAGCTCAGTTTTGGCAGACTTGGGACTCTCAGTTGATCTTTGTCACCTTTAGATCCCCACTCCAATGGTGTCTCCACCCCACTATGCTGCCTTGTCTGATGCTGTGACATCTAAAAGCACATAAAAGATAAGATACTGTCTTCTAAGAACAGGATAAGTGGAAGACTCTTCATTTAGTATTTCTAGTATTTGCAGCTTATTACAGATTCTGTAAAATAATGTTAACAGTTGTTGTGAAGTGGAAAACTTCAAAAATATTGTCAGTTGGTGTATTTTAGACAAATTGAATGAAAGTCTCAATATACAGATCTTTTCTTGCAGGCATGAAGTGTGTCAATTTGTAACCTCAGGTGTGTGATTTCAATATATTAAAGATTATTAAATTACTGATACTTATTTAAAGGTTTACCTTTAATTAATAAATGACCTGTATCAAGAACTTATTAATTTAAATCATGGACTCATCATAAACCTGGATTAGCAAGGTGCTGTTTATAACATTGATAAGTGAGAGTTTTACAAAGCACAATTTGCAGTATAAAGTAGTCAGATAACTAAGAGGGTTTAATTTGGCCACATTTTTGTTTCTGCTTTGTTACATCCTTAGTCATTGTTTTCATGTGTTTGCATCCTTTAGGGTACCTTCAGGAAGCTTACTTATGGACCAAACAAGTTCTGACCATCATGGAGAAGTCTCTGGTCTTGCTCCGAGAGGTGACAGATGGCTCCCTCTATGAAGGAGTTGCATATGGCAGCTACACCACTAGATCACTCTTCCAGTATATGTTTCTTGTTCAAAGGCACTTTGACATCAACCACTTTGGCCACCCATGGCTTAAACAACACTTTGCATTTATGTATAGAACCATTCTGCCAGGTACAGTGAAGATTTAGAAGTGAAAAAAACAAACTATTATAATTTTTTCTGATTATGAAGATGGACAAGATTAAGAAATGTGGGATTTGAACCATATCGAGGTTAAAGGGATTTTTTTTTTTTAATCAAAGAATTTTAAGAGTTATATATAGCCAAGAATATTCTGGATGTTAATGTGAGGATTTGTGATTTAAGTATTATAAAATATAGAGTATAACAGATCAAATATAATTTGTAGTCCCATGGTACTTTTATTTTTTTGTGTATACAAACTTGGGTACATATACAAACTCTTTTTCATGAATCTGAAAATATAAATATTTATGATTACATGTTATTTTCCTTTATGTGTAAATCCTAATTAATCTTATTTATTTATTTTTTTTAGTTTTAAATTTTTTCTTCTAAACTATACAGACATGATTCAAAAGAGAGATTACACTTGGAGGTTTAGTATTCTCTTTAAATATTTTTGGGTCTGATCCCTGGGTCAGGAAGATCCCCTGGAGAAGAGAATGGCTATCCACTCCAGTATTCTTGCCTGGAGAATTCCATGGACAGAGGAGCCTGGTGGGCAATAGTCCATATTGAAATAAATGGTATAAAATATAGAAAACTAACCAAAAAATGAATTTCTATGAAACTTCTGAATTCTTGTTGCTATGTAGTAAGCTTTTAACTTCTCAATAAATTCATTTCTAGGACAGATTATAACTCTGCGTACTTCTAAACAGGAGTAAATTTTCATCAGGATGGATTTTGCCCCAGTGAAATGCAATTTTTAGTTGAGTGATTCTAGACCTACAGCAAATAATCCAGGTTTTAAATCTTTTTGCTTTGGATATATACACATGGATTGGATAGAAACTCCATTATTGCATTAGTTATCAAAAAAATACTACAGAGCCCCCAGAAGAACCATGTTATGATTTGGTTTAGACTCACATTCAGAACCCTATTGTTTTATTGCTTATCTTTGAACATTCCGGAGAGGCCTCTTGTTTCTTTATCTTGGTAAACACAGGCCATCTAAAGCAAGGGCCTTTAAGAAGCCTCAAAGCTTTGTAATTTGATCTGAGATCTAATAATCCACCACACTGGGGCTTTGACTTGCTGTGAACTGTGTATATGGCTACTTCCTAAGGTGAAAAAGACAATATAGTCACCTTTAAGTGGAGAATTCATGTTTGTTTCAGTTAGTGAAACGACCTTTACTGAACACTGATGTGCCAGGCACTATCATAGGCAAGGGATTCAAAGAGTGATAAGACATACCATCTGCTTTTAAGATACTCACAGATTTAGCAGGAGATTCAGAAAGTCACAATTTATACTAAGATTTACTTGGACAAGCATTTACTAAATTGGCAGGAGCAAAAACATTAGCTGTAAATTATATAGATACGACCATGCAGGCATTTTTAGAAGGGACTCTGTTAAGTCAATCTGTTCTCAACGTTTTTTTTTTCTCTACACTATCTATTCCAGTAACAATCATTCCTGTCTGAACCAGAGTTATCTCCCATTATTCTTTTCCAAGGATGCCTGGAGTATATCTGTTCTTACCTGCTTCTGTTTTTCTGACCTATTCCAGTATGATCTTTACTTTTTTTTTCTCTTTTCTTCGACTTCTGACAGTACATGTGGGCAGGATCTTCTCTGGGAATGGTTTTGTTTTCTTCCTGCAGATACTCAGTTTCTCCCCTAAACCTTCTAATTTCTACTGTTGTTCACTCGCTAAGTCATGTCTGACTCTTTGCGACTCCATGGAGTGCAGCACGCCAGGACTCCCTGTCCTTCATTATCTCCTGGAGTTTGCTCAGGTTCGTGTCCATTGAGTCGGTGGTGCCATCCAACCTTGTCATCCTCTGCCACCATCTTCTCCTTTTGCCCTCAATCTTTCCCAACATCCTGGTCTTTTCCAGTGAGTCAGCTCTTGGCATCAGGTGGCCAAAGTATTGGAGCTTCACCTTCAACAGCAGTCCTTCCAGTGAATATTCAGGGTTGATTTCCTTTAGGATTATCAGCTGGTTTGATCTGCTTGCAGTCCAAGAGACTCTCAAGAGTCTTCTCTACTTCTGCTGTATTGAATGCCAAACTGAAACACTTTATGTTATTATCTTGGCCTGGGATGTGGGATGTGTTGGTGGAAAAGCTAGTGCCCATTCCAGGTTCAGGGACTCACCATGCACAAGAGATAGATAGCCCATGTATCCATGCAAGTATATTTGCATATGGCATGAACACTGGAAAATGAGGAAGCTGAGCAATACACGTAAGCATTCCATTACCAGTGACAAGTTGCCATGTAACAAACTTACCCACAAGCTTTGTGGAAGACCTTTGGAAGGATTCTGATTAATTGGGATAGAGCAAAGGGATCATGGTTCTCTTTCTTATTTTTATCTTAGAAGACAGTTGATTCCAATTTGCAACCAGGATTCAGAATTATTGTTGGGGTTTTATGGAAGTACGTAGTTTTTAAATTTATCTTAATTCTGTCAAACATCTTTCCTCAGGGTTTCAAAGAACTGTGGCTATTGCAGACTCAAATTACAACTGGTTTTATGGTCCAGAAAGCCAATTAGTGTTCCTGGATAAATTTGTCATGCGTAACGGCAGTGGCAACTGGTTGGCTGACCAAATCAGAAGGAACCGTGTGGTGGAAGGTCCGGGGACGCCGTCCAAAGGGCAGCGCTGGTGTACTCTTCACACGGAATTTCTCTGGTATGTTACATTGTGCTGGCTTGAAAGAGAAATTGTACCCAGGGGCACCCTGTGTTAAATTTTTTTTGCTTTAAAAAAGAAAAACTCATCTCTCCATGCCACCTACGCACTCACAGCTTGTGTTCAATTCATATTGCGGTTTTCAGACTCTGTTAGAAACATTTCCTTCCATTTAAGATCTAATTACTGTTTGCTGTTTTTGCTTTTCTTGCATTAGAGATATCCTTGGCTCACGCTGTTTCATAGATATGCATGTTTTGATTTACATCATTTTTGAAATCATCTAAAGAGAAAAACCACAAAATTTAGACCTAGGTTTTCTGATAGTCACACCAAAGGGAAAAAAAAAGGTAGTAAAATGTTTTGTTTTGGTAAATGGAGCATTATAATCTTCTAATAGCAAAGCTGTTACTAAATTTTCAAAACTATTTAAAAGTGTTTGACAGTATTTGACAGTTTTACTTTGATAATAAAAGAACCATGTAATTTTTTTTGCCTTAATCTTTTAAGCCTAGAAAGAGCAGCCAGGGTCTCCTTTTTTAAAGTACTGCCAAATACATTGTTGGCATACAATAAATTAAAGTTAAAATAAAAGTTAAAGAAAATTGGTTAATCATTAATCCCTGATGTCTTTTCAAGCTATTGAAATTTGCATTCAACTCCAAAGTAAGCTTGCATGGTTTGATTGCTTCTTTTCATTAAAAAAAAAATCAAACAAGAGGAAGAAAAATGTTAGTAGAGTGATAACTGTCTTAGTTTAACCATCATTTTTAAAAACAATCTTCACAGATGAACTACATATATTAATATGTAGACATTCCTGACTCCATTTAGGGGTATGAAGTAATTACTTAATAGTGTCTTCACTTACCCATAAATAAACAACCAAGAGAATTCTATAAAGTTGCTTCTAGGAGTCAGATTCCAGTCCTCTTGCCTGGAAAATCCCATGGACAGAGGAGCCTGGTGGGCTGCAGTCCATGGGGTCACTAGGAGTCGGACACGACTGAGCAACTTCACTTTCCCTTTTCGCTTTCATGCATTGGAGAAGGAAATGGCAACCCACTCCAGTGTTCTTGCCTGGAGAATCCCAGGGACGGGGGAGCCTGGTGGGCTGCCGTCTATGGGATCACACAGGGTCGGACACGACTGAAGCGACTTAGCAGCAGCAGCAGCAGCAGCAGGAGTCAGATTAATGGTAAGTCTAACTTGGTTCAGAATGTGCCTTTGTGGGAATATGAAAACTGACTGAGGGATTTCCCTGGTAGTCTTAGTGGTTGGGGAACTAAGATCCCGCATGCCATGTGGCCAAGAAAAAAAAGAGAGAGAGAGAAATAAATGGTAAATACCTGAAAAAATGACCAAAGCCTGAGAGAAGGATGACCAGTTTGCTTATATCTGGATTTGTTAAATCGTGATAATTAAGCCAAACCTCTACTCAAAGTAGAGATTTTTGATGTCCTGAAACAAACTCCAAAACAATAGACAAAACAGCCCAAACCCAAGTATCAAAAAGCCGAACTCTACCACAGCTGACCGATTCACTTTCGAGACCTAAGAGCTAGCACAGGTCTGCCTTTCGTCCCTTGAGCAACAGATCATATGAACCTGTCAAGGCTGTTGTCTGAAGTCACCAAAAGCAAACAGTCACCTTCATTATTATTTTTACAGCCTTTCTGAATCAAGATCTGTGTTCTTAATCATGGGTTAATTAAGTATAGTTAATTATTGTCTTTGATAATAAACCTGTATCATAAATTAAGATAAGAAATTTATTATTAAAAAGGCATGCAGATTAAAACAAAACAAAACCTTTGGATTTTTGTCTGGGCTGAACAATGAGAGGAACAATCATAAATCTCCCCCACTATTAGATTGTTTCCTGAATTTCATGCATTTATATTCTTAGATATTGCATTGGCAGTAAATTTTATCTAATATGTGAGATTCGACTGTATTTAAATTTATTTTTTTAGAGGGGAGGAAAGTACCAAATTTGAATTTCAGTTGTTTGCAGAACCATCCTTGCTTATCACTGATTGTGCTGTGCTGTGCTTAGCCACTCAGTCGTGTTCCACGCTGTGACTCCCTGGACTGCAACACGCCAGGCTCCTCTGTCAACGGGGACTCTCCAGGGAACAATACTGGAGTGGGTTGCCATGGCCTCCTCCATCCAACAGGTCTTCCCAACCCAGGGATCAAACCCAGGTCTCCCACATTGCAGGCAGATTCTTTACCGACTGAGCCACATGGAAGCCCAAGAATATCAGAGTGGGTAGCCTATCCCTTCTCTGGGGGATCGTCCCAACCCAGGAATTCAACTGGAATCTCCTGCATTGCAGGCGAATTCTTTTACAGCGGAGCTACCAGAGAAGCCCACTCAAGGATTGCTAGAGTCTAAATATTTTTTTAAAGATTTTTTTTTTTATGTGGCCCATTTTTAAAGTGTTTATTGAATTTGTTACAGTATGGCTTCTGTTTTATGTTTTGCATTCTTGTCCACGAGGCATATGGGATCTTTGCTCTCCAACCAGGGACTGAACCTGAACCCCCTGCATAGAAAGGTGAGGTCTTAACCACTGGACCACCAGGGAAGTCCCTAGAGTCTAAATCTTAGTGTGTGGTTTCCTAGAATAGGAGCCCCTCAACTAGAGGTTTGAGTGAGCTGCTTCATTCTGTGAGCCCCAGTCTCATTTGGTTGGCAGTTCTGAAATCGTTCAGTGAGGAAGGTCCACGTAGAGATGATCAGCAGCAGTCATTTCAGCCTCACACCCTTCACAGATGTCAAGGTGCACTCGTCTCCCATCCACCAAGGACATTCCTCCACTCCTGTTGACTGTGCATGGGTGTTTTCAGAAAAGTCCATAATGCCGTCTACACCGCCAGTGCTCTGGGTAGCATTTGTGTGTTGTTTCCTCTAGCCAGGCTGCCATATGGCATCACTGTTCTGATATGTCCTTTCACTTCTATCAGAAAATCATGTAGTTTTTAAAAATTAATTTTTTCAGGTACGATGCCAGCTTGAAATCTGTTCCCCCTCCAGATTTCGGCACCCCGACATTGCATTATTTTGAAGACTGGGGCGTTGTGACTTACGGAAGTGCGCTGCCTGCAGAAATCAATAGATCTTTCCTTTCCTTCAAGTCAGGAAAACTTGGGGGACGTGCAATATATGACATTGTCCACAGAAACAAATACAAAGACTGGATCAAAGGCTGGAGGAATTTTAATGCAGGGCATGAACATCCTGATCAAAATTCATTTACCTTCGCTCCCAACGGTGTGCCTTTCATTACTGAGGCTCTCTACGGGCCAAAGTACACCTTCTTCAACAACGTTTTGATGTTTTCCCCAGCTGCCTCCAAGAGCTGCTTTTCTCCCTGGGAGGGCCAGGTCACAGAAGACTGCTCATCAAAATGGTCTAAATATAAGCACGACCCAGCAGCTAGCTGTCAGGGGAGAGTGGTTGCCGCAGCAGAGAAAAATGGGGTGGTTTTCATCCGAGGAGAGGGTGTGGGCGCTTACAACCCCCAGCTTCACCTGAGGAACGTTCAGAGAAATCTGATCCTCCTGCATCCGCAGCTTCTCCTCCTCGTGGATCAGATACACCTGGGAGAGGACAGCCCGTTGGAGAGGGCAGCAAGCTTCTTCCACAATGTGGATTTTCCTTTCGAGGAGACGGTGGTAGATGGGGTCCATGGGGCTCTCATCAGGCAGCGAGATGGCCTCTATAAAATGTACTGGATGGATGATACTGGCTACAGTGAGAAAGGAACCTTTGCCTCAGTGACATATCCTCACGGCTATCCTTACAACGGGACGAACTACGTGAATGTCACCATGCACCTCCGAAGTCCCGTCACCAGGGCAGCTTACCTCTTCATAGGGCCATCCGTCGATGTTCAGAGCTTCAGCATCCACGGAGACGCTCAGCAACTGGATGTGTTCGTGGCCACCAGCGAGCATGCCTACGCCACTTACCTGTGGACAGGAGAGACCTCGGGGCAGTCTGCCTTTGCGCAGGTCATTGCTGACCGGCAGAAAATTCTGTTTGACCGGAATTCAGCCATCAGGAGCAGCGTTGTCCCGGAGGTGAAGGACTACGCTGCTCTGGTGGAAGAGAACCTGCAGCATTTTAAGCCCGTGTTCCAGCTGCTAGAGAAGCAGATCCTGTCCCGCGTCCGGAACACAGCCAGCTTCAGGAAGACTGCCGAGCGCCTGCTGAGATTTTCAGATAAGAGACAGACCGAGGAGGCCATCGACAGGATTTTTGCCATATCGCAGCAGCAGCAGCAGCAACAGGGCAAGTCCAAGAAGAACCGAAGGGGAGGCAAGCGCTATAAATTTGTGGATGCCGTCCCTGATATTTTTGCACAGATTGAAGTCAATGAAAGAAAGGTTCGACAGAAAGCTCAGATCTTAGCACAGAAAGAACTGCCGGTAGATGAAGATGAAGAAATGAAAGACCTTTTAGATTTTGCAGACGTAACATACGAGAAACACAGGAACGGCGATGTGATGAATGGCCGGTTTGGCCAGGCTCGGATGGTGACAACGACTCACAGCAGAGCCCCGGCGCTGTCCGCCTCGTACACCAGGCTGTTTCTGATCCTCAACATTGCTATTTTCTTTGTCATGTTGGCAATGCAACTGACTTATTTCCAGAGGGCCCAGAGTCTTCATGGCCAAAGATGTCTCTATGCAGTCCTTCTAATAGATAGCTGTATTTTATTATGGTTGTATTCTTCTTGTTCCCAATCACAGTGTTAGTATCGAAACTATAAGTGGCTTGATTGTTTTGTGGTCACAAGTCTATGCAAAAAAAAAAAGAAAAGAAAAATTCATTACCCTAGTTTATTACTGGATTTTTTTTTCAGATTCTTTTTAACAAATTAAGGGGAAAGTACTTCCACATAAGAAATCAGGGACGTGGGGAACTCAGTATGCATAGAGGCAAAGAATTAGGAATAAGGGTAGCTTGGTTGTCACACGGTGTTTCTGGAAATGTTTGGCTTGGCTGATTTAGGAATCCATATAATACTACTCTTAAAAGAACAAAAAGTCTGGTTTTAAGTACTGTTTCTTCTTAAGAGAAAGAGACTTAGATAGAATTGGATTTTATTAATATTAATTTAATGCTGTTAGCGCTCTCCAGATACTATTTTATGGAAAGACTGAGGCACACAATTCTGAAAAATACAGAAAATTTTTTAATGTTGTGATCATGTTGAAAATAAATGTTGGTAAGTCCTGGTTATGATGCTGTCAACTTCCTTGGAGAAAAATTCATGTGAATAACAGTGTCTGCATATTGGGTTACTGTTCAGATAACATGGTAAAATGGTGGCAGAAGGTTGTTAAAAACTTGAGATATAGCTCCAGCAGAAAACATATTTTAGTGAATGAACATTTCCTTGATGATGTTGGTTTCTGCATACACATAATTGACTGCTTTTACACATCCATTGGTTGTTCAATAAGTAAAACAATTATAGGTAACTTCATTTCCTATTTTCCTTCTATGGAAAACTGTTACAGATCCAATGACTAACTTCAAAATAAAATATTTTATATTTGACTGTTGATTTGAATACCAAAGAAGATGGGGAAACTAAAATTTGAATGTAATTCTCATGTTTTTTTAATAGAAAACTTTCTTTAAGTTTATTTTGCTAAATAAACATCATAATTGTGATTTTTCTGCAGTGTCCCTCTTTTTTCCATTCCATTCAACATGTATTCAAAAGTTTTGAAATCTTTGAAGAAAACTGTTTATTTGAACTTGCATTAATTAAGCATAAGTTAGAATAAGCAAAATAAGTTGCTTATTTTCCTTTTGGTTGTTTAAACATATTTTAAACAGTTAAACAAAAGCCAAATTCTGATATTTAGGTAATATCAAGCTTTAAAACATGATTTTTAACATTTTATTTAATGAATTAAATAAGAGCGAGGGCTCCTCTCTGGTTGCCGCGTGCGGGCTTCTCCTCGTGGTGGCCTCTCTGCTGCGGAGCAGACTCTAGGGCACTCAGGCGTCTGGAGCTGTGGTGCACCGGCTGAGCTGCCCCGAAGCATGTGGGATCCTCCCAGACTTGGGATCAAACCAGTGTCCCCTGCATTGCAAGGGGCATTCTTAACCAGTGGACCACCAGGGGAGCCCAGTACCAAACTTTTAGAACATAAAATTTTCTAATTTTGAGTAAGTCCTCAGGAGGTAATATCAGTACAGAATGCTGGATATGTATTCCACAGATTGATATTTCAGCAAAAGAAAATGATATCCTTAAAAGGAACTTGAGTGGGTTGTCTTACGTTTAGCATATTTGAGTCTTCTATATTTCTCCCTCGAAAACAGAGATTATGTTTGGCTCAAGTTTATAATAAGAATACATTCTCTGATACAAATCTAAGGTAATAATGACCACCTTTTCCTTGTACATGTCCTTTTGGTTCATGGAAATACTGATAAGTAACGAAACAAGAGCATGGAGAAACTTATGAGCCCTTTTTCTCAGTTTTAATTTTGAATCTTCTTACACTAAAAAAAACCAAGTATGACTTTTCACTGTGCTTCACTCGTACTGGAAATCTAGAAAATGACTTCTGAGGAAGTATTTTTTTTTTTTTCTTTCATGGAAGAAATCTCTGGGGAGGATGTCATTACACACTGTTTGAAAGAATAATGTTTTCAAAAGAATAATGCTTCCGTTTGTCCTGCATGGATGCTGTTACGGGGTTTTAAACTTGCTTTATGTGACAGATTCTCCGTTTACTTAACCTCATTCGACATTCCTCTCTTCTACTCTTTCTCATTCAGAAAGGATGAATTGTCTGAAATGATCAAAAGCAAATTTTGAAAAAGAGGGTAAATTGCTCTTTGAGGCTACCAAGCAAACCTGATCTCAGACCCAAAAACTCAGACATACTTTCTCATAGAGATGAAAAGTGCTTTCCTTTTGTTTTCACTAGTTTAGGGCAGGCAGTGAATTTGTCCCCATAGCATGATCCAGTGTAATACATTAGCTCAGTTATAAAGCAACTTTTAAAAATGCAGTAATTGCATATCTTTAAAACAAAATTAATTACAGGGTTTGTTTTCCTTCTAGTGGATCTTGTGTTTATTTTAATTGAAAAGAAACTTCCACAGTCAGGGACTTAAGTGGTGAAGCAAGAAAAAGGTGCTAAGACAGATCACAGCTCTTTATAATGCTACATGCTTTATATCAGGGACACTGCATATTTGAATAAAACTGAGGAACTCTGTATCTTCCAGAAAAACAAGCGATGTTAAATCTCTCTTGAAACTGAGTAATTAATTATGGAATCTGTTTCAGCACTGCTCACTGTGAAAGGAGTATTTCAGGTTTACTGGATAACATGGGAACTTTGTTCAGAGGATTGGCAGGACTTCGAGTCCTCACCCTAAAGAAAGTTTGGGCATCTTGAGCCTACAGAGCTTGTCTGTGTGGTAGAAGAGGCATGTTTCCTGCTTGGTAATTGGTTAGGTTCTTAACAGCCATAATGATGGATGAGACCTATTTGCTGAGAGAAGTCTTTTGAGACCCTTGTTATAACTGTTAATAAAGTCAACTGGAAGACATTCTCAAACTGTTTTAATAATTAGAATCTATTATGTCACCTAGAATATTGAATTTAATTCCTCCACAAAGATTTTAGTCATGGTTTTTAAGAAGTACCAACTGTTCCAAGGTTACTAGAAAATAGTTTTAACATACACACTGTTTAATTTTTTAAGAAGAAAATTTTATATTACAACTTAATCTGCTTTTAAAAAAATTTTTGACAGTTCACAAATCACCACAAAAGAATTGGAAATTTCTTCAAGTTTTTGAGAGCAAACAAGTTATGAAATGCTTGTATTTTTAAGTTAATTAATAAAAAGTAAATGCATGTTTTTTGTTAGAAATATAAATCAAGATCAACTGGGCACTTCTGAGAGTTAAAAAGAGAACCAAACAAGATTCTGAGACTATTCTAGGAAAATTAGGACATACGGTCATCTGAGTCTTAGAGTAATTCAGGAAATAAAAGGGGCGAGGGATGTGTATGAAGATCTGAGTTCAGTGCTTAAAAAAGAAGCTTGAACAGATTCTGCAGCTTTAAAAAGTTTGGATACCTCCACGAGTGTATTAGGCAACAATTAAATGGGTATGTTATCACTTTCCCAAACAAAAACTGGGATAAGAAAGCTGGAGTCCTAATAGTTACAGATCTGAGAGGTGGCATTTTTTTTTTTCTTCCTGAAAAATTGACTTGAAAGACTAAGATTCACTATGTCTTTAATAAACAACAACAACAACAAAGAAGCTTGAGATGATCTTGTCAACTACAAATTGGCACTTGCCATTGGCTTATCTACTTACCTGCCTGGACAAGGATTAAATCATGTGCTGCTGCAGCTGCTGATTTTCAACACACCCTGAAAGGAGTTCAGGGTGGAGAGTAGAAAAGAGGCACTCTATACTCTGAAAAAATTGGCAAGACAGGTCTTCAGATAGTTAGATATTTTCAGGAGCTGATTTTATGAGCCCAATTCTTAGATTTCCCCATATGTAGAAAAGCACTAAAATCCTTCGTGGTGATGACTGTTCCTCGTGATTAGCTAAGCTTCATGAGACTAGCAGAAATCTAAAAAAATATATGCTTGATGGCAAGTATCCCCCTTCATCAAAATCACATATGTACTGATCTCCCCTGCTTCTTGGGAGCAGTTTCTCAGAGCTGTCTGGGGGGCCGTCTCCCCAACTGCAGTCCACATGTTGCCCCCAATAAAATTGAACTCAAAACTCTCACGTTTTACATTTTTTTTAAGTCAGCAATCTTATTGAGCCTCCAGGTGCAGAAAACAAACTCAAGCAAAGGGAGGTTTTATCTACTTATTCCTGTACTTACATCACTTCTGTTGGCAAATCACATGGTTTTTCCTCTTTATGTTCACGTTGAGAAGAGTTCAGTTTCTGCAGCTTATTTAGCTTATTGGCGTAACTTGTTTTTCCCACAATGTTTCAGCTAGATACGTATTTACACTATATAACATCTGTGAAGTACTGACACGTTTTCAGGAAATGACTGAGAGAAATCATGCATTCCAATGCATACATTCCAATAAATATTTAAATTTCAGTCATCAATTATTTTAATAGGTACAAACCCTATTAAGCAAGATGTAGTTGTCATGCAAAAGATAAAAGTCGATGAAGTTACATTATGACTTTCTTGTTCTTCTTGGCTGTGCAATTTCTTTTGGGGGGATTTTATTTTTGTTTCTGTTTTCTGTAAGTTATAAGCATACATGATTGGAAAAGTAAAATAGCACTAGAAGGCATGGCTGATTCATGTCAATGTATGACAAAAACCACTACAATATTGTAAAGTAATTAGCCTCCAACTAATACAAATAAATGAAAAAAAAATAATAAAATAATAAATAAAAAGCCTCCTGCCCTCTCCCTTTTCACTCTAGATTCCTGCTTCCCGGAAGTAACCACTTTCAGTCCATCTTAGCTGTTGGGTTCATTACATCCTTGTTTGTGTTAAAGTCTAAAATTTCCTATCAATGAAAAGAGGATTTAGCTCTTTCACTCATGTCCCCCTACTTCACACTTGTTTCACGCACCACCTTTCTTCTCACAGATCTATCATAACTTTTGGCCCACTCTCTGAGGAATTTATTCTACTGACAGTATTTATATATTAAAACTATGTAAATATGACTCAAGGGCTAGCCATGTTCTTACTTCCTTTCATATACAACTTTGATTTTCCCAGAGTTAATGATGATTTCTTTTTTTTTCTTCCATTTGCTTAGTCGTCAAGCAACATCATTTTATCTCCAGACTTTCCAATGTAAACATGCATCTTATTCTGTTCCATCACATCTAAGTCATCTGGCAGTTCTTTTTGTTCCTGGGACCATCCTTGAATGATGGTTGTCTTCAAATATTTCTCCATGATTCTGAGACTTCTCTGCACCTCTTTTCTGTGTAGATCTTTTGTTTCCTGGGTCCCATGTTTCCTTTTTCTTTATTAATATCTCTTTTTGAGATATTAACATCTCAAAATATTATCTCAGGTAGGATAGATATCATATCCTATCTGAGATTCCTGAGAAAGGACGCTTGGGGAATAAAGTTTGGCCTCCTTCCATTTCTGAGCAATTATTTATTCTCTCCTTCACTTGACTGATCATTTTGCCAACAATCTATTCTGGAAATAACTTATTAGAGTTGTGAAGGCAGGGCTCCATGACTTTCCAATTTCTGTTGTCGCCATTGCAAAGTCTGTTACCAAGTTTTCTCTTGGACGGAAGTTTTAACGAGAGAGAAAGCCTCTCGCCTCCTCCCTGGTTCATTCAGTGGAGAGAGGTTGGAGGAGGAAGTCACTTAATAGGCCTAACTGTTGTGTTCTCAAAGTCAAGTGGAGAAAGGGGCTAGAGTCTCGGCGTTTGGTAAGTAGACACGTATTCTCAGTACGTTCCTCCCCTGGGTTGTGCTGTGTCTTTAAACCACAATCCTCTTCTCAGTTCCTCTTCTGCAGGGCGTCCAGGTGAACTCCGCCTGCTGTGGTTCCATTTTCCACTCCCTTGCATTCCCACGTCCACAGGTTCCAATTCCTGAGCATACTTGCTGTTTTGCTGAGTGAAGTGGCTTGTTTCTGTCAACTCAGATCCCATTTTCTAGCTTGTGT